GACAAGCTATGGACAACATTGTGAAGAATGGGTATTCCAGAACACTCATCGTTGCTCAGAAGGAACTTGTACATAGACCAAGAGCAGTCGTTTGAACAGAAACGGGGGCACTGAATTGTTTAAAATCCAAACAGTGTGCATCCGAGTTGTATTCCTTCACCAGGCTTTTTCATTCTGTATGCTGAGCCAATCACCTGAGAATCTGGAGGACTCTCAAGGAAGTGGATTGACATAGTGACTGGAACAGTGGTCTCAGTGGAACCACAGCTGTGAGGACGGTGCAGGACGGGGCCAGTGTTTCGTCCTCTTGCACATAATAGGGTCACATGGAATCCCTACTGATTTGACGCCCACCAGATCATATCACTGTGTTTCTCAAACTGAAAGTCAAGCCATGTTTGTTTGTTTTTTTAAGTTTTTATTGTGATTTGAGTGATAGTTTATGTGGGAGAACATCAGCTTTACATTCATCCTATCGTATTTTGTTTCATTGCAATGATTACAATCCCCTCCATGCATCATCATTCAAGAAGATTTGTTTTTGTTTTGGATATACACCGAAGGATTCAGGAATATATAACCATTCAAACAAAGGGTACAGCCCCGCAAGCCTGGCCCTCAGCCATCAGCACACAGCCCCTCTCCCTCCCTGAGTCCAGGGTCCCCAGCCGCTCCATCTCTCCAGTCATTGTCTGCGCCTCCATCTCGGGCATCACTGCTTCTCTGGATACGGTCCCGCACTCCGCTCCTCTTCCTTAATGATCCCAGGACCCTCTGCTCCTGGGCTGTATTCTGAAAATCTCACTTCCTCAGTGGGACATGATGTCCTCACTACACTGGACCCAGTCCACATGCCCATCTCCGCAGGGCTAATAAACGATGGTTCGTCTAGACGGTGGGAAACCTCTTGGGCTGGGAGGAAAAGAATAACACAGGAGGTAATACTAACCTTCAAGATAGATAGTTCAAGGAAAACAGGTGGTTGGCGTTTTTTCCCCAAGGTGAATAAAATACCACAATTGGTATTTAACTAAGATTACAAAAATAACACAAAATGGTATCTGTATGTTTACCCATTATAAGCTGTCTTTGCAAGGATACATTGGAAAAGCCATTTGCCCTTAGCCAGGAACCTGAGTCCAAGGAGTCAGGGTGGGGGAGAGTTGCTTCCCTTTGTGGATACTTTTTTCCCCAATTAGAAATGTCCATTATTTAGCTAGTACTCAATTCTCCTGGACTCCACATATTTAAATAAAAAACAAATGTAGAAATAAAACTAGCATGTTTATCTCCAGCTAGAAACTCCATCTGAATATGTAGGATATGAAGGTGTTAAAAGATATTCGTGGCAGTTTATAAATGATTGTCATCCCAGTCTCTGTATTTCACATTATAGATTCTAGCGCACTTTCACCTATGTTATATCAGTAGATCCTCTCAGCAACCTCACCCTCATTTTAAGATGTAGAGACAGGTTCGGATAAATAATACGATTTGCCTAAGGTCACACAGAGAATTCCAGTCAGTACCCACTGTAATGTGTTTATTTACGTGCCTGTCTTCTACTAGATTGTCAGTAGTGACACAAACAGTCCCTGTCTTCTGGTCCCCATCTACTGGAAGGTGATAACAGCGTAAAAGGGGGTGTTAGGGAAGTTGGTGCCCTCCCCTTATGTTGTCTTGGGGGAGGTGCATGGAAAGGGGGGGGAGGTATCACAGAAAATATAAAGAAAAGGGTACAAAGCTCTTGTTAGTAGCATGCCATGACAAAAAAAAAAAAGAGAACAAAATTAGCTTTCTACTTGTCATTTCTGTGGGAAGAGGCGTCGCTGGGTTGTGAAATTTGATGCTGTGATACATTCAATTTGGATTAACTTTGCTGATACTCTACCTCCTTTTAGAGTCTTTCCACAAACTTGATTTTCTGCAAAATGCCAGTCAGTGGCAACTGAGATAGCTTCAGAGGAACGTGACATGTATTTTTCATATCAGAAATAATATGTCTAAGGGCATTGCTTAAATGCAACTCATTGGAACAAATGTTAAACCTATAATAAGAGCCCCCAGAGGCTTATGGGTAACCTAGATTATCAGAAAAGAGCCTTGGTTGCGCCATGGGCTAAGCATCAGGCTGCTAATCAAAAAGGCAAGTGGTTTGAGCTCACCAGCTCTTCCACAAGAGAAAGATGAGGTATTCTGCTTCCATAAAGAGGTACAGCCCCAGAGACCCTATGACACAGTCATGCTCTGTCCGGCGGAGTCGCTATGAGTTAGAGTAGACTCCAGCGATGACTTTGGTCTTTGTCTACTGTATGTTATCTGGATCTGAACTGCTCCTTCTGGCAGCATGGGCACTTCCATGAGGTGAAACTGAATGCTAACTAAAGAGCTGGTAGTATTTCCCTTAGCCATTGAAAGGGAATGTAGCCATGCTCGGATAGAAGAAAAGAAATGAATCTGTGCAGAATTGAAACAGGCTTTTTATTAAATAGAACTCGATCTGAAACTCTTGAGAATTTGAGAGTAAGGCTTAGATAAATATTTCATGGAACATCTTAAGATGCAATCCTTGATAGTCATTTTAGTGTTCTGATTTCTGTTTGTTTTCAGATTTGAAAAAGCCACCATTTTTCTGTAATGATTTCTATCTGATAACTTCCAATTCGGCTCAGTCTCCTAAGGCTGATCTTTATAAATAAATTAAGTAGTACAGTAAGAAGAGCTCCGCTTTTGTTTCATGTGAGTCCCTTTAGATGGGAGCTATGTTAAAAGGGCTTTTACATTTTTTTCTTACTCAAGTGTAAACAGTGGTCTTCGTAAATACCATCCACCATTTAACCTCCGCAGATCAAGTCATCGTACCACCTGGCTGCCTCAAGAGACCGTCTTTGGAAACCACTGCCCCCATTTCTCCCCTTGGGCAGGCAAGAAGCTGTCTACCCTCTGCTCTCTCCAGAGCAAGGGTGGAGAACCACTTTTCTGCCAAAATTGATAGCATCATTCACAGGTCATGGAAAAATTACCAACTTAAAATTTAGCCTGCTATATTTGATCAAATATTTCATTAACTCACCCCTAATGTGATGGCTGGAGTTCTGGTGTGGTACTGTGGGCTGACACACTGAACTGCGAAGTCTGTTTGAACCATGAGGTTGGCAGTTCAAGCTAAAGCTGCTCCTCGGAAACTCTATACAGGGTTGCTATGGGTTGGAACCAACTCGACGGCATTTAACAACAACAAAATGTGATAGCTGGAAGTACGGTTGCCTTGGTGAGCCAGACCAAAAGAGTTCATGGGTCTTATCCCACCAGCAGCCCAAACATTCCCCACCCCTGCTCTAGAACAAAGGACACATGAGCTCTCTGACCAACGGCAACTTTGGGGCTTTGCAGTCTTCTTTTAAAAGCTGCCCTAGATGAGCCTGGGCATGTTAGCGCTTTCTCCTTCATGTCTTGATTTGGTACAAACTCTTAGAAAGGAGCCCGTTCGTTCTCCACACTGACTTGCAGTTGCATAAACTACGATAGGAGGCTGCCTGTTGACACTGTAACTCTGCAAAGTGACAGCTGTATTTTCTGGATCCGTATGGAAAACCCTGTACAGGGTCGCTATGGGTCGAAACCGACTCATGGCACTTCACAACAACGACAATGGGGAAGCTTCTCACCAAAAACCTTCTGTGTCCTCAGCACACTGTGGGGTGTGTGGGGAATTGAACACTGGCTCATACTAGAAATCACTCTGGACACCCCCTGACCCCCACCCCCAATAAATGGAGCGGTGAACACAGAAGCTGGTCCTTTCCCTCAGACCAATTGTGTTCTAAGGGGGAAGAGAGACAATGGATAAGTCAGAAATATAGCAAAATGATTACAGATCATCAGTCCTCTGACAAGAGGTGAGTGAGAGACGAAAGTGGGTGGGTGGTCAGACAAGACTTACCTGCAGACGAAGGAATCTTCAGCCATGTGAAGGGAGGCAGGAACAAGCTTTTGTGCTGGAAGTTTGCAGGGGGAAATGGCGTGACGTTTTGGGCTGTATAAGGTAGTGAGATGAAGCTGTAAGAAATGGGATGAAAACAGCAGAGCGGCTGCCAGCCCGTGAAAGATCCCATCGGCAAAGATAAATGCTTACATTTTATACCCAGGTTCACTGGGAAGCTTTTATGCAGAAGAGTTTCTGGAAAGTGAATTTTGGTAGCTTTGTGGGAAATGAACCAAAAGAGAGAGGCTGAGACAGTGGGCAAGAAAGATTGTGGCCTGGGCACCTGTGCTGTCACTAAACCAGGGTGGGGGTTGGGGAGGGTGACTGGCTGAGGACCTGTCTCTTAAGCAGAGACAACAGGACTGAATGACGGACAGACTGCAGCTACAAGATAGAAGGAAGGGAGGAAATGAGAGCGCATTGGGGTTGAGCCCTGTTGCAGTTTATGGAGGTGGGAATGCCCCCAGGTGGAACAGGTCTGAGGGATACACTTCAGACCCTCAAGTTTGGTATGAGATGCGCCGCTAAGCAATCCAGTGGATCGGGTCTTCATAAGTCTGCTATTTAGGAGACCAGAGGAGAAAAAGGAGTATGCGCAAGGAGCTGGGGATTGGCCCAGGTTCAAGAGAGGCCTAAGATTTTGAAGACCCAGAGGAGGTCAGAAAGTGGGCAGTGGCCCTGGCAGGAGTGGAGGGTTTCCCATAAGAGGGCCCCAGCTCCCCCTGTTGCTCTTCTCCGTTGTTTCTCCTGTTCCCTAGTTCAAGTCCATGCATGATCTGTGGATGCCCAGGAACTCTCATAAGAGTTCAAGGTTAGGACCAAGGTAGGCCATGGGGTTGTCTGACCTTCCAGATCCTCCACACCAGGTTCAAGATGTATTTGGAGGATCCTTTAGTTCAGGGGAGCCTCATAGCTCCAGCCCTTTCCTCCCCATCTGCCTTCCAGGCTGTTGGGGACCAGTGTATACCGAATCTGAAACACCACACTTACATGTCCCCGTTTCTCTTCCACATAGGCTTTATGACAGGCTCACAAAGAACCCCTCAGATGTCCCAGTACGGACCTCAGCAGACAGGACCGTCCATGTCACCGCACCCTGGAATCAGTAGCTTTCAGCAGAGCAGCACCAGTGGGTCTTACGGTCCGCAGATGAGCCACTATGGACCACAAGGTAATGAAAACAAGAATAGAACCAGCAAGCTGCTGCGCATCCTCCGGGGGGGGGGGGGTGGGGCACACTGGGCAAATTCTGTTTGCATGCTAGCTTCTCAAGATCCTAGTTTATGAGCGTCTTTTAAGATTCCGTTCTTGTTGAGCTGGCAGAGCTGTGAGGAAAACATAAGCCCACACCCTTTACTTAGTTGCCCATGACGATGGGAAGCATAGGAATAGCAGCTCAGATCGGTAAGCACTTCATGCCTGGAACACTGAGGTGAGTACTTGTCCTTGTGTGTTACAAGGAAGGAGCACACCCATGTCGGAGAAAATGACACAGACTAGTCCTCAAAAAGCTTCCCGTTTAAAAGCCGGGTGTTTCATTGTGCTGAATTCTGGTCATGCCTTTCCCCACCCTCTGAGAAATTATCTGTTTAATAGTGTTGTGGGTTGAGTGTATCCCCTCAAAATATGTGTTACCAATCCTAACTCCTTCACCTATGGGTGTAATCCAGTTTCCTTGTTTTGTGAATGAGGCCAAATGAATGTAGGCTTCACTTGTGAGATTTAGAGAGCAAATAAGGCTTGGAAACAAGACCCCGAGGGAGGACCAACACCTTCTGAAGATGAGGCAGAGCAGTCAGCCTCCAGGAACTCCCAAGGATGGTCAGCTAGAGAAGCTGGATGCTCCCTCATAGCCCACAGAGAGAGAGTGCACAGCCTGAATTAGGACCTCAAGCCTCCTACACTGAGAGAAAACAAATTTCTGTGTGTTACAGCAGCACCAAGAAACCCAGGCAGTTTGCTCGCTTCTGAGAAGATGTTGGACCAGGAGCTCTCCCGGTGTGTCCCCATCAGTTCCATTCCTCCCACGCATTAGTTACATCCTTGTAGGAGATCGTGAGCCCCTCCAGAATCAGACCTGCCTTTCAAAGAGGACACTTGGGGAGAGCAGGAAAACCATTGGAAACGTGCCCCCCCCCCCCCACATGCTGGTCTCACTCTGCCTTCTGAGGCTTATGTTTTGTCAGCACACAGAGAATCCTTCCACCAAGGCCCTTAACCCTGCTATCCTGATAGATGCCTGTCTCTCTCTCTCTCTATATATATATATATATGTATATATATATATATTTTTTTTTTCACTCCTAAGTCACGTTTGACAAGAAGGCATTTACATTTAGCACCTTCTTTATTTTTTGTTTATTTAAATTAGACATTAATGGGCAATTTAGAAAGAATAAGATGACCTGGCTCATTTCCCAGGTTCCTTGCTTCTGAAAAAGTCAGAAAGATTCCAGGGAAGATGATCCTAGCTACATAGCAAAGTGGCGTAAAAAGTATTGGCCACATCCAGTCAGCCCATATCAAAGCTTCACTGTTCTCTCAGGCATTTGCATCTGTTGAGCACAAGGTGTTCTCCTGAGGCTCAATGTGCTGCTCTTGCCCGACAACACGCTCACAAGTGAAGACTGTCACCTCCTCAGAACCCTACCCTTCTGTTTCTAGCACTTTGCATCTGGAAAGTGCCGTGATGGGTACGTGCTCTTCAACAGGCGAGTGCTAAGCACTTTTATCAGGGTCACCATGGCCTCATAGTTTTGCATGACCTTGTAGACTTTCCAGTTTTATCAGAAGCTCTGAAAATGGTCTTAGAACATTCAACCCATACAACTTTGTATTGAGTCCCTTCTGTCTTTGTCTAAACTGCCCAGAGTGACAGTTGGAGTGAACACGGACTTCTGGAGTTTTCTCTAGAGCCTCCTTACTGTGCCACAAACAGTTTCCTCCACCACTCATCTGCCAGTTTGCATACTGTGGTGGCTTGTGTGTTGCTGTGATGCCGGAAAGCTATACCACTGATATTTTAAATACCTGCAGAGTCCCATAGTAGACAGGTTGTCAAAGACATCATTTAGCTTGGATCCACAATCAGCGCTCATGGGGACAGCAGCCAGGAAATCAGGTGATGTATTACATTAGGCAATTTGGCTGCAAAAGACTTCTTCAAAGTGCTCAAGAGTGAAAGAGATCAGTTTGAGGAGTAAGTTACACCTGACTCAAGCCAGGCTATTTTCAGTTGCCTCATATGTATGTGGAAGTTGGACAACGATTAAGGACAACAGAAGAATCAGTGCATTTGATTTATAGTAATAGTAAATATTATTTTAAAGTGTTGAAGAACAAAGATGTCAGCTTGAGGACTAAGGTGCGCCTGACCCAAGCCATGGTATTTTCAATAACCTCATAAGCATACAAAAGCTGGACAATGAATAAGGAAGACGGTAGAAGAATGGATGCTTTAGAGTTAATGGTGTTGGAGGAGAATATTGAAAGTGCCATGGGCTGCCAAAAGAACCAACAGATCTGTGTTGGAAGAAGTGCAGCCAGAGTGCTCCTTGCAGGCCAAGATGGCCAAACTTCATCTCTCATATTTCAGACATTTTGTCAGGAGAGAGCAGTTGCTGGAGAAGGATATCATGTTTGGTAAGATGGAGGGTCAGAGAAAAAGAGGAAGACCACCAACGAGATGGATTGGCCAAGTGGCAGCATCAATAAACTCAAGCATGGCAATAGTAGTGAGGTTAGCCCAGATCGGGCAGTGTTTCATTCTGCTATGCATAAGGTGTCTATGAGTTGGTACCAACTCAATGGCACCTAACAACAACAACAATTGGTAGATAATATTGAAAGTACCATGGACTGCCTGAAGAATGAACAACTACAGCTTTCTGGTTGTACTTCTGTCTTAGAAGAAGTACAGCCAGAAAGCTCTCTAGAAGTTAACATAGCAAGACTTTGTCTCTCATACTTTGGACATAATGTCAGGAAGGACCAGTCCCTGGAGAAGGACATCATGCTTAGAAAAGTGGAGGGTCACCAAAAAAGAGGAAGAACCCCAATGAGATGGAACGACAGAGTAGCAGCAACAGTGGGCTCAAACATAACAAAAATGTGTAAGGGTGGCACAGAACCTGCTAGTGTTTCATTCGGTTGTACATAGGGTTGCTATGAGCCAGAACCAACTCAGCAGCACCTAGCAACAACAGCTTTCCCTGTTACGAATTCCAGAAAGCCCCTGGAATTTCACAGCCCCACAGTTCCACACTGCTCCCTGACAGGTCACTGTGGCAGGTAGATGTGGGAGCTGAGCTGAGACGATGAGTGGAGCTGCCCTGAGAACATCCCCTTCCCTGGGAAGAGTGAAATCTCCACTTAGTGAGTCTTTGACTGCAAGGAAGGAAGATACCTTCTAGCGAAATTTGGGGAAAGGAGGTCATACGTTCGAAAGCAAAGATGTCACTTTGATGATCCAGCCATGATCTTTTCACTTGCCTCACATGCATGTGAATCTAGACAATGAAACAGAAAGATCTAAGGGAAATTGACCCCTTTAATTATGGTGTTAGCAAGGAAAGTTGAATACACCATGGACGGCCAGAAAAATTAGTAGAAGAAATAACAACTGAATGCTCTTAAAAGGGAGGATGGAAAGATGTCGCCATGCCAACTTTGGACACGTCATCAGAAAGGATCGGAAGAGAACCACATGGTTGCTAAAAAAGTCGAGGGCCAGTGAGAACAATGGGAGCAAACCCCGCATGAGAGTTTGAAAGCAGTAGCTTCACCACTGGGTTCAAACAGCCCAGTGACTGTGAGGATGGTCCAAGCGAGGCAGTGTTTCCTTCTGTGCTTCGTGACGTCACCGTGAGTCGGCCACTCTATGGCAACTAGCCATCCATCAGCTTGTGGCATGCACATGAACTGTGGCGTTTGGCTAGAATGTGATCAAAGGCAAAGTTAGAGCCTTGTTCTAAGAATTGGGGGGTAACACTTTCTAGGATGTGGTCCTTGAAACATTACAAGGACTTTGTGTAAATCTTAGAAATTGGCTGCTGCCAGTAAACACTTGGCTATTAATCCAAAGGTCAGTGGTTCAAACCCACCAGCCACTCCAAAGGAACAAGACCTGGTGGTCTGCTCCCTTAAAGACTGTGCTTGTTAAGTGCCTTCCAGTTGGTTCCGACCCATAGCAACCCATTTCCAAGAAGTGGCTGGTGAATTTGAACCGCCGATCTTGCAGTTCAAACCAGCCTTGTAGTCCAGTGCATTATCCCAGAGTTCCACACCGGGACTCCCCATAAAGATTACAGCCTCAAAAACCCTATAGGACAGTTCTTCTCTATGCACTGGACTGCCAGGTCCATTTGAACCACAAGATTGGCAACTTAAGCTCACCATCCACTCCTTAGAAACCCTATTACAGGGTTGGAACTGGTTCAACAACACTTATAACAACATCAACTCTACTATATGAAGGGGTTTCAAAAAGTTTATGGAAAAATTCCATTATTTTTTCATTTCATTTTTCCACGAACTCTTTGAAGTCCACTCATGTAAAGTCACTGTGAGTTGGTGTCAACTCATGTCACACATAACAACAACTAAGTATCTCATTTTGAAACCTGCTCCTTTCCTGTTAACAACTCATGAGTGAAGACTAAGCCTTGGAGCATCTGAGGAGTCTTAGAACAACTGAGATAGAGTGCGTGTGCTGATGGAGATAGCAGCAGGGCAGAGGAGTCCTCAAGAATGGGTCTGGCTTTTGGATAGTACCCTCAGTTCTCCAGAATCACTGGCCATTCCGATTTTTCTCAAAGACCCACGAATCTGGGAGGATTCCCATCCAGGCTGCCACCCTCGATGGGAGTAGCAAATTGCTTGTGGTTTTAATGTTCTGAGTGTAAATGTTGCTTCAACTTCATGGGACCGCAAGTTAAAGTTGAGCAAAGATGAAAGATGATGTCTTTCTTACTCAGCCTTTCTGGTCTTTGAGAAATGGAAATGTTCCTCCTTCCTTGCGTCTGCATGTCCACTGTCTCTAGTGATTTCTCCCTCTCCAAGTGCTGTCTCTCACCACATGACATGCACTATGTGATGGATGGGTTCCTGGATGGTTCTCTCTGCTGCGTGCTTACAATTCAGTATCCTGATGTTTTCTGTGTTCGCAGCCAA